ACGAAGAGTAGCCTTAGTCTCAGTGATAGGAGATGGCTTAAGGGCCAGAGTTTCCTGGTTTTCTTGTGTTTCACATTTACATTTGAATACAAGTAAAGATTATTTCTTTAGTGCAAAGAAAGTTTGAACATAAGGCAATTTTGACCACTTTTCCTCTTTCTTGCAGTATAGTTCTATTTGTGAAATAGCACCATAATATTTCCCTTTGTATTAACATGTTAAAGAAGGAAGCATTGCTTAGTACTAAACCACTGCTTTCCAATTCTTTGAAAGAGGACGCTCAGTGTCCCTTTTTTATTTGCTTTGGCACTAATGGTTTTAATATTTGTAACTTCTCATTTAGAGGTTACAGATTGACCCACACCAGCTCAGGAACTTCCACTGGGCTTATGTAGTTTGAGTTAACATTGACTCCAGGAGTCCCAGTAGAAAGAGTCCCTGTACTTAAGTATTCCTTCTACTTCAGCCTCCCCCATAACTGGGCCTACAAGTGTGTGCCACCACACGCAGCCTTCACAAGGGAAGCAGGAAGAGGAAGCTGCTTTTCTGCTACATGGATCTGTTGTTGGCCTTCTATGGGCACCTTATTCACTCTGGTACAGGTCCTGCACCACCATCACCTCCTCTGTTGCACCCACCCCCAGAGAGGACCACACTGCCATCTTGGGTGGGCTGCTTGAGCCACTAAAATTGCTGGAGGTGCAGGCCAAGAAAGAGTTGCTCTACGAGTCTCATTAGTGTACTGCATTTGTTGGGCTATGTTTTCAAAGGAGCCCTGTAACCGAAAGGACCTCCTCTGTTACATTGGTTCTATCTCCCTATTTACATCAATGTGATCTTCTGCCAACTACTGTAACTATATATTGAAATAAAGATATTGACTAGGGGATAAGGAAGTACAAATAAGATGTCTAACATCATGTGGGGTCAGATGATATTTTCCCACAACTGAATCTATGATGAATGATCCCTGAGCTTCATTATTTATGACACTATGTTTTAATTCTTTAAGCAGTTTAAAATTAAACATCCACCAGTCAGGGATGAGCTGATTTTGATTATTAAGATCATTTCTAACCATCATTGGGAAACAACAGAGGTCCAAGAACAACTCCTTGCAGAGTAATATTTATTTATTGTAAAAATGTTGTATTTAATTATTTCCTGGAATATCTGGTGGTTTTGCTAGCTGGCAGCATGTACTTTGCCTTCTTAAAAAAATATTAAGAAAGAGATTTCCCCTTGTTTTATCCTCAGCAAAATTATTACTTGACTTAAAAGCACTGAATTTAGCTCTGTGTCAGGCGTCTCCAGAATTGTCACTTGAGATCCAAACACTGTTCAAAGATTCCAAGTAAATCCACCAGGCAGCCAAAAATGCCCTGGGTTCAGGCCACCTTGGATGCCAGTTATCAGAAACTCCTGAAGTGGGCTCCAGTCTCCTGCCAGGTGTTGCTGTGCATGGCACAAAGAGCTCGAGACAAAATGGTGGTTCAGGGTGGATCTGGGACGACCAGTTCTTCATGAGGAACTAAAGGTCATGAGGCAGCTGGAATTTCTGGCATTTAGAGATCACATTTACATTGAGGAAAATGGTGAGAGGATTATCAGCTGGCTCAGAGGACGGATGGTTTTATGTTGAGAAGGTTCTCATGTTGATGATGCTCACTTCAGGTGACTCAGAGGGCAGAGTTGAACTTCAACTAGTGAGGATGTTGCCCTGGGATGTCACAGCATCACTGGGACATTAAGGTCTTCATCAAGGCCTCTGAGCCCCCTTCAATTTATAATTTATGGTCCCTCCCATGTGTTTACAAGTACAGATATAGAAAATTGTTTCTTAAGAATTAATGTGTGTTAGAAAAACCTGGAGGGCTTAATAATACACATAGATCTGTGCCCCACTCCATAGTTTCTTTTTCTGTGTTTGGGCCACTGAATTTTCATTTCTTTTTTTTTTTTTTTTTCCGGTACCGGGAACCAAACTCACGACCTTGCACTTGCCAGGCAGGCGCTTTGCCGCTGAGCTAAATCCCCAGCCCCTGAATTTTCATTTCTAAGAATATTAAATCATATCATAATAGCATATCAAATAAAAAATTAAACACAGATAAATTTTTCAAACAACTGAAGAGAGATGTCGTATTATCTCCTGAGAAGTAGATTTGAGTGAACATGAATTTTTATTATGGCGTTATGGAAGCCAGAGGAAGAGATAAAATGTTTTCAAGGGCTCAGATGAAGAACTGTCAACCACAGATTTTATAGTTTGCAAATTTATTCCTTGATGATGCAAAGCAAATTTAAATGTTTATAAGAAGAGAACTAAAAGATTTTATTGCTAGAAGGTATAATTATTAAAGTGTAGCTAGGTAAAATTCTTCAAAGAAAAAATTGATAAAAGAAGAAATTATAGAATATAAGGAAGAAAGAATAATTCAAAGATAAGAGTTATCTTTTGTATGTACATACTTGGTTATGTACAATGGGTTTTATAAACTATAGTTGATAATTAAAACAAAACTAAATTAAATCAAAATTATAGTTGATAATTAAAGCAAAAATGTTAGCCCTAGCTAGTGCCCAATATGATATTTTAAGGATGATATTTTAAGACGGACATTTTGCAACTTCTCACAAAGATGTAGCAATTCTAAATATATATGTGTCCAACAACACAGCTTCAAAATGAAGCAACTTTGATGGTGCTGAAAGGAACAAATAACAAATCTGTAACTGTTCTTACAATTTCAGTAGTTATTTCTAGGAAACTGACAGAACCACTAGATCAAAAAAAAGAAAGTATACAGATGAGTGACAAGCACAATGAATGAACAGAATGTAAAAGACGTGTATAGAATACTGTCCTCCACAACGGCAGAATACACACTTCTCCAAAAGACTGCAGAGTAGTTATTAAGGGAGATCAATTAGACTGGGCCAGCCATAAAACAAACCTCATTTCATTTTAAAAAATAGAAAGTTTATATAATTTATTATTTGGCTCTAATGAAATTAAACAATAAATCAATAACATAAAACAAAAAATTCTAAACATATAGAAGTTAAACAGCACATAAAGAATTTATGAGTCAAAGATGAAACCTTAAAGGAAATTTCAAAAATACATAGAAATGAATGAAACAAATACATACCAAAATATGTAGAAGGCAACTACAATATGGTCAATAATGATATTTACAGTCCTAAAATAATAGACATGAAAATTGTCTTAAATAATTTATTTTTCCATGTCAAGAGACTAGAAAATAAAGAGAAAATTACAAGTCAAGCAAGCAGAAAAAAAAATGATAGAAAAAAATCAATAAAAATGAAAAAAAGGAAAACCTAGGGAAAATCAATAGAGCAAGTTTTTTTTTTTAAAATGGTGAGCAAAATTGATAAGCTTCTAAATGAAGAAAATTTCATACCATATTAATGATTCAGAGACCCATTATTGCTAATAGAGCAATAATCTTCAAATGAACCTCAAATTCAAGTAAGCCTTATCAAAATCATTTCATTTTTTACATTACTTGACAAGTCAATCATAAATTGGTAAAAAAACCTGAAGTGCTGCTGGACTCAACAGAGTTACCTTTTTCTCTAAGTGATAAAATGTGCTTTTATTCAGGTGCTCACTTTACTAAATTCAACTTTAATTTCCAACATAGAACTCAACATTCGTTCCTTTATGTGTCTTACAATTTATACCAGTAGTGTAAAACATGATCATAGATGATAATCAGCTTCATAGTCCTATTTTCCCCTAGTAGTAATCTTTTAAATTTCAGGTTTATCTTTGTATGTGGATAGGCTCTTAATTTGCATGAGTTAGCCCTTAATAAATGTTAAAAACTTCTATTGTTGTAGCTTTTTTTCTTTCTTCAGTAATGGTCTCTACTTTTCAATTCCCCACGAGGTAAGGGTAAGGGTGGAGAAAGTGAGGACAGAGAGAGAGAGAGAGAGAGTGACAGAGAAACAGAGAGACAGAGAGATAGAGAGAGCACTAAGGCTCTGGAACTAACCGTGGTTGGTGTCTTGGCCTTGTCACTAAATTGTGTACCATATAAAAACTCTTATAACCCTTTTAAGCTTGTCATTTCTTGGTCTATAAATTAAGAGGTATTACTGATTCATGCATAATAAATACTTTGTACAAGGCAGACTGTTAAGTCACCTCAATAAATGGTAACTACTAAGATTATCTTTAAAGCTATTAATATTATCTTTAAAACCATCTCAAGTATACTTATTAATAAATAAGAAATGCTATTTTGAAGCAGAAATTGATAAAGTATAGTATGCTAATAAATTGAATTCAGCATTATCTTAAGGAAAACTGTAATAATGCTGAGTGATATGTATTAAAACTGTAATTATAATTATAATATGAGGTTTTTGCATTTTGTCAATGTATGGAGACTCTTAATGAGCTTTTAACATTTACTTTACAAAGGTAAGTGATTTAAAGGAAGTCTAAGTGTTTAAACTCTTCTTTTTCTTTTTTTTTTTTGTTTTGCAACTGGGAATCAAACTTAGGACCTTGCATTTGCCAGGTAGGAACTTGTGCCATGAGCTACATCCTGGCCCTAAGTGTTTAAAGTCTTAATTTTGACTCTGAATTAATACATTTTGTACAAAGTGTTTTTACTGTAAAGAGAAAAAATTAAAAGCAAAATAACAAAAACAAAGACATAAAACAACACAAAAAGAAAAATGATGCAGAATTTAAAACAAAGTGATAAGAAATTCACAAAGGTTGTTGTATTACATATTGTTATCTTCAAATTGGTTACTCAGATAACCAGACAAAGGCATGTAAGATTGTTCAAACAATTAAACATTAACCATACCTTTCAAAAAAAACCAATAGAAATTAGTAGTACAACTATCTTTGCTATCTTGTCAAAGTTTTTTTAAAAATTCTGCTACACAAAGTTGCCAACCTGAATTGCCAGATTAGAAAACAAAAACAAACACAGTTTAGTGTGGTTAACATACTGTATTTATTATTTTCCATAGTATCTAAAAAGTAGAATATATTATATTATTTTGTTAAAAATAATTTTTGTACAGGTTTTTAAAGGTGACAGATACATTTTACAATTAAAGCCAATAGTTTTCAAGAAAATCAATATGAAGTCTCTGTGGAATTATAGAAGCATGTTATGAATTAGTATCATTATCTGAAGCAATTTCCATACTAAACCATTCCCAAGAAATACAAAACTTGCAAATGTAGGCAAAGCACCAGCTTTCACCACATCACTAAATTAACACTGAATCTTTCTGTCTTCATTACATGAAGGAGAATAAGAAGATTAAGAAAGGAGCATTTATCGGAAAAAAAACAGAACTCTGAAATTACATTTATTTAGGGGATTCCCCAAAGGCATCTTGGTATGGTTATTGTATTTCTGAGATTCAAAAATAGATTGCAATACTTAAGGCTCAAAATCATGCATTCATAATAAAATACATTTACCAATATGTAAGTGATATTGGATGTCATACAATGTATTTTCAATTTGTCATTTAAGTAAACAGTATACATTTAATATTTTATTCCTTGAGGGCTTTTGTAGGCACACTGAAATCAATTTTCATACAAATGCAGCAAATATTAGAATCTCAAACTACATGGATATAAGTGATGTTACTTTTGTCAATAAATCTAAAAACAACTATTTGTGGGTAATTTAAAAATAATTTCATTAGTTCAAACTAAGGTTTAGAGTTTTAAAGTTTCTCAACTATAAAGCATTATACATAGTTCTTATATATGATGAGATATAATAAAAAAGCCAGGAAAGGTAAATGAATAAGTAAAAACTACCTAGGATTTATTTCTAAAACAAGAAGTTATACCTTCACCTCCTAATTTGGTCTTTACAGTTTGAAAGATCATTTTTGTCTATAAGTTATAAGCAGCTAAAGTTCAGTGAAAAACACTTTGAAGTGGCTACCTGTTCCCAATTTAAGGTCAAGATACTGTGAAAATCCTTGGACATTCTAGTAGCTCTCCATCTGCTAATTCATTATGACATGCACTTCTCAGAGCTTATATACTCAATGATGTATTATAAATACATGGTAAAAATACATAAGTTTTATAGTAAGGTAAGGATTAAGTCTACTGACATATTATCTATTATGTAATTCTAGTAAATGCATACATTTTTAATGAGTGTAAATGAGAAGAATATAAGGAAAATGTAGGCCATAGCTGGCTGTTTTATTTATGCTTCTTACTGTATGAATCCACAGCCATGATGTTGTAGATTTGGAGCATATGTAGAACTAGCCAAAGAGATGAGGATCTAGGAGCCCATGGACAATGAAATTTAATTTCTACCACCAGGAAAAAAATATAAGAAAAAAGATGAGCAGAAGCAGGACAAAGAGGAGAAGGAGGAACAAGAGGATAATCTTCACTACCCTTCCCCTTATCCTTCAGAATAAGCTCACGTCAAATAAGCCAGAGAGAAAAACAAGTATTAGATTTCCAAGTAGCAGATTCAACTTTACTAACCGCAGCAAAATTAATGCATTATCTTTCCCAGTAGATTGGTTAGGCTGAACATATAAGGTTATAAGATTGAGTTTGGCATGGAGACTTATGAATGAATACAAGCTTAATTTTCATTGGTTGTAAGGAACTGATCATATCTGTACTCTCCTCTGACTGTTGTTTGTTGCTTAAGCTTTTAAAGCCCTGGGGTCCATGAAGAAAATAAGTAAGTCACAAGTGGGATTAGATCTGACTTTGAATAGCTGGCTTTTCCTTAGCTTTGTCAAGACAGACACCTTCCTTAGTAGTCTGGACATCCTGGTTATCATCCATTATTGAAATATCTGATGTATTTTTGTCATTTTGTCTCAAGCGGTAATTTTTATAAGCACGTTGAATGATGGTCGCTGAAACTGTCTCTTGTTTTCGTTTCAAAGTAGTTGTGATTGGTTCATATGTGATTTTAAAAGGGTTGGCTAATACAAATGCTGATTCTATCTCTGAGAGGATTTTCTCCATCCCTGTATCTTTTCCCACAACTCGTTTTGTAAAAGCCAGTAAGATATCAAGGCAATGAATTCTGTCTCCAACAGCCATGGGAAGGTCCATAGCTACAAGCTGTCCCTTGTTTGGTTTTGCCATGAAAAGAGGAGGATCAAGAGCAGCTGCGAAATCCGAAAGCTTGCTGGAGTCTATGTATTGAGTCCTGTCAGGATCAAACCTCTCCCATACCTGAAAGAACTTCCTAAAATCATCTTCACTCAAGCTCCTAGTTTTTTTCTTAGAAACAATACTTAAAAATTCTGTTATCACAACAATATACATATTAACAATGATCAGCCATATTATGAAAATGTAACTGACAAAGTAGAAAATCCCAACAGAAGGGTTACCACAATCTCCTCTAACCTGAGTCCCAGGGTTAATTTTATCAGGATCACAGTCAGACCATTTACCATTGAAAATTGCACTGAGCAACCCATCCCAACCTGCAAATATTGTAACTTGAAAAAGACAAATCATACTACTGCCAAAGGTTTCAAAGTTGGACACGTCATTAATTCCAGCTTCTTTTTTAACATAGGCAAAGTTGTACATTCCAAAGATGGCGTAGATGAACATGACCAGGAAGATGAGAAGACTGATGTTCAACAGTGCTGGGAGGGACAGCATCAAAGGGAGCATCAGGTCATGGAACACCTTTGGTCCCTTCCCAAGGCGCAGGATGTGGATGACGCGAGAGAGAAGTATCAGTTGCACAAGCGAGGGGGACACCAAGTAGTATCCCACTGTCATAGGCAGAAATAGCCCTGCACAAGGAGAAAAGAGTCAATAAAACTATCCACATTCAATGGTGTTTAGAGGAACATTTTATCTTATATTTAAGTGGTTGTTTCTATGCTTTATTTTTATTAATCACTATTTAACAGCCTATAGGATGATTAGGTTAGCTAAATACTAATTGTATCAATGATCAGGGTATCTAGCAAAATTTAGAAGGGATTCCTTCTGTACTGTGATCTTGGGAATACTATGGATCAAGTACTTATGGGATTATAGATGACCTGAATCTACAATATAGGATAGCAGTCATAAGCTTTTTTCCTGATTGCTGTTGTATCATAGAATTCAAGCCAACTTATATTGAATGCTTTACAAAGGCATCATGAAATATGCAAAGATCAAATAACATGATTTCTAGTCTCAAAGACTTTCTCATCTAGAAACTAGTGACAGGTATTCAAAATAATTATAATGCAAGGTAGACAGACCAAATTGTTAAATGTAATTACAAAAATATTTGGCATTCAGTGAATCATAGTTTGTATTTTAATTCATTTCCTAAGTGGTATTTTTTCTGAGGACCTTTAAATATGAAGGCAATACATGAGTTTTTTCCTTAGAACCTAGGGATCGTTCATTTTGGGTTGAGAAAGGTAACAGATGGGAAAATCCCACAGAGCTTCTAAGGAGAAGGAATATTTCCAGACAGGAAGGGTCATGCCACACATTTCTGTTAAACTTGGTCATTGCCTAAGATGATATTCTTTGTGATGTTCTTCCCCACATCTGCCTTGTCGCTAGAGGGTTCTAGTGAATTTTCCATGACTCAAATTCTCATTTCATCTCAATCTTCAAAATTCCTCAGTTTTGCAGGAGGTATTCTCACCTAATTGCAAACAAATTCCTCAGCATAAAGATCTTTTCTATTGTTATCCTACAAATGAAATTATAGTATATGAATTTATAGTACATTACTGAGTGGCAATTAAGCATTTATCTTGCAGTTTGTGACATAAAGTATATGCTATTCATTCAAGAAATGTGTTTTTTAACATTTCCTGTCTGTACGCACATTTGTGAATGCAAAAAATATGAAGCATTCCTGATGGAAAAGAAAGGTATCTACCTATTTTGCTTCTAAGCGACTCCTTCTGAAGTGACATTAATAAGTTTGCCTGAATTACTATTATTTGTAAGTGAAAACTGGACTGAACAAAATCTTACCTGTAATGGAGAAAATTACCACCATAAAATCCAAAATGTTCCATACAGTGGTAAAATAGTAACAGTGGAAGGCGATGAGCTTCAGTATACACTCTACAGTGTATAGGACCACAAAGGCAGAGTTAACCCAGTGGAGTGCAGTGTCCACTTGCAGACTCTGCTCATCATTTTCTATCATCATGGCTATTGCTTGGCAACAGATAAGCACCATGATGCTAACATTAAAAACTTGATTTGTTACCAAGTCAAAAATGAAGCCTTGGAACTTGTTCTGTGGGTAAAGAAAGCAAGTACAGTAGCATTATTAATAAGATACATAGAGTCATTGACATTCATACATACAGTCATTTAGAGTCTGTAACTTCCCCTACAATAAGTATGAGTGAAGGTCTAAGTTTTTACCAAAGTAAAACTACAGCATATTATCAAAACAAAGGTAGAGGGACATAAACAACTCTCAAGATATGCACGTGTGGAGATATTACAATGAACTACATTAGTTGGTATAATTAATGTATGTTAATAATTGTAATAGGAAACAACACATAAGCAAAAATTGACTATTAAAATCTTTGGCAAGGGACATATTTTATAAATGTCAAAAGCATTTCAGATATTTTAAATACACTTTTCTTTGTAAAATAAAGGAAATAAAGGAACTGAGTAAAGCTTCAAAAAAATTGAGATGTTTTCCTACTCCTGGATGAGGTGCTGGTTTTTGCGAGTCATCATACATCAGCCTCTTTAGCCCACGATATTGTTTCTTTTGTTTTGCAGTTATAAACATATTGGAGCCTCCCTGGTAGAGAAATGAAAGAAAAAGACATTAAAGTCTCATTTAGGGCTGGGGATATAGCTCAGTGACACAAATGCCTGCCTGGCAAGCGCAAGGTCCTGAGTTCAATTCCTGGGACCAAAAAAAAAAAAAAAAATCACATTTAATCCAAGATTTCCTTTATATAATACGCATTAATAAAATGCACATTATATTAAAAATATAATTCTTTTCAGCAGTTTTCATTGCAATGATCTAAATCATGTTGTGCACAAAGTTGCATATGAAACAAACATGTAATGCTAGCTGGTAATGAATACAATCAACAGTCTTTTGATGTACTTTCCTGTATGTAGCCAACTATTTGTAGTATTTATACTATTTAGTCTACTGAAGCCTTCCTTTTCTCAGGGAGAAAAACAAACAATGAGGGAGACATGAAAAAGTTAATCAAAAAGACTTGTACTCAATAGACAAAGGTTAAAATTATTTGTGTCTTTTAATAAACAGAAACAGATTGTTCAATTTTTGTTTGTTTTTGCAGTACTAGGAATTAAATTAAAGGCCTTTGAACTCTATACATTTCTAGTCTTTTATAATAATTTATTTCAAGACAGGCTTTTGCTAAGTCAATTGTCCAGGCTGGGATCAAGCTTGCAATCCTTCTACCTCAGCCTCCTAGTTTCTCGAGATTACAGGAGAGTACAACATCTTTAAACAAAGGATGTATTTTTTTTATAAGCTCATACATTGCTTTATTTGATAAACATTGTAAGAAGACATTTTTATTGTTCCAAAAGTACCTTCAATTTGTACCTAGGACACATTTGCATCTAGGACACATTGTATTTTGTGTTTCTAGTACTAATTTAGTATCTGGTATAAAATATATAAAGTAATAATGATATGTTAAGCTAGGAATTAGGAATTATTGATGCTTAAATTAGAATCCACTCACAACTGATAAGGATCACTAATGTGAATCACAGAGGCAAGCCTAGAAGGTCACTGAGCTGGCGTGATCTGCTCAGAAGCTCAAACATTCAATCAACACCATATCTACTCACTTTGCCTCCTCCCACTTGACTAGCGAACCACTGTAGTATGCTATACTATTTTACATGTGGATAACCTTTAATGACCTAGTTAAAGATGGAATTTAACAATTATTTCCTTTGATTGTGTGGATAGTGCACCTGTACGTCCCTTTCTTTATATTTGTGGAAGGCCAAGAAGTAAAAACTGTGCTCAAATGACATCAAATACACAAAAATGTTACCAAATTGTGGCTGTTTAAGTGTCTCTAGATTCCATGATATTGAGTTCAAGTACTCTTACTTGGTCATCCAGCTAGGATTTATGACTCCACTTCAAGCAGAAAGAGCTACTCTAATGTAGAAATATGTTGGTTATTGTTATGACTCTGCAGGCTTCCAATGTTTCATGGTAAAAGGCATCATTTTTCTCCAAGTGTTCATATATTTGTTCAGATAGACAATAAGATTGCTCATTTCTTTTCATTATATCATTATTTATAAAATATACACAGAGAAATACACATATGTTTTAACACTCAAACTAAACTGTGCATACTTTCAACGCTGAAAGCAATGTGGGAATGAAGACTTCAGCAGTACTCCACAATATGCAAGAATAGCAACAACTACTGTATTCGATATACACTACAGAAAAACGGCACTGAGGTAAATTCTAAACCAACTACTTGAAAAAGTGCATCTGTACAAATGTGTCAGAGGTTTTCAGGAATTTATGAGCAAACAAAGGATATTTATACTTATCTTTATTTTATGCTTGTTGAAATTAGTAATAATAACACCAATCAGCATACTCAGAGGGAGAAATAATCCAAAGATAACAAAGTTGATAAAATAAAAATACATGTAGAGGTTGCTCTCAAAATGAGGCTGCATTTCTACCTGAAAAGGAATTTAAAACTAATCACTGACCACAATTTTTTTTTAAACATAAGATTTATATTATAAAATATTTTTTGACGAGGAGAGCTGATTATCAGAATGTGTGTCATGCAAGTATGGATATGCCCATATAAATCTACTCTTCTGTATAGCTAATAAGCTTTAACTGATAAAAAGTTTAAACTTATTTCATTGTTTAACTTGTTATAAAAATGATCATCCTTTACTTTCACTTCTTGAGTCTCAGTCATTGCATATCTTCCTGCAAAGATTTCATTGCCTGTGAAATACCCAATCTGAATGTATTTAATTTCTATAAGTACAACTTCTGTCCTGTGTTTGAATTGCAAAAAATTATTTTGCTTGTCCCTTAACAATACTCTTTAGACTATATTGTACTTACACCAACAGAATCAATTGCTGAGTATACAATATCAGTCCATCCATTGAATGTTGCCTATAAAAATAAAATAAAATTTTGTGGAAATCTATATTTGTGACAAAAAGAAAATTCAATTTGTTTTTAATATTCTAAAACACTTGATAGCAAGGCTTTGAAAATTCAATCTACTGAATAACTGAGGTATTTAACATGTTCCTATTTATATTATCTGTTAATTATTTTACTTAGTTATTAATAACTAATGATACAATAAAGAATGAAGAAAAATAGATAAACAATAAATAAGTACATGCTTCCAAGTGTCAGTTATGGTGACCATTTATATGTAATTTTCTGTGGAATCGAGAAAGTATTGGCCCATCTCTTCATGTCCTAGATATTAGGTCACTAAGAGGACATTCGTCAAAGAATCAAATTTATGAAAAGAGTAGTAACACACTTTGGACCAGTAAGCAATGGCCCTCTTGCCTGACCAGTAGTTGTGGAAGCAGGTTTGTCCAGAACTTACCATTTCCTCTGTTAGTGCTGCCTTTGTTTCCACAGAATGGGGACTGATTTTACTTATGTCTCCCCCAAAAGCCTAATATAGTATTCTAACAACAATTATCTATAAATTAATAAATACTAAGATATGTTATAACCAAATGTTTGAATCATCCATACTTTGTCCTTTATACCTACAGTATGAATGAACACATTTAAAAAAAAAAAACTTCATAAAATGTACTTACAACTTGAAGCAGAGCAAGGAAACCATTTCCAACATTGTCAAAGTTCAACTGTGCATTCTTCCATGATAATGATTCATTATACATAAGGCTTTCACACTGACTTCTGTTCAGTACTTCAGACATGGAAAACCTCTCTCCATTTAGTTGATCAATGCATGCATAGAACTTGCCAGCAAATAAGTGGACTCCCATGATGCTAAAACTCAGCCAGATCATAAAGCAGACCAGAAACACACTCAAAGCGGGTAGAGTTGTTTTTATCAAAGTTCTCACAACCACCTGGCATACAAAAGAATGAATGTGAAAACTTTAGATATGAAATGTGAAACCATGTTTATTTCTGACCAAATTGAAAATGCTACTTGATATAATGTTATATGGAAAAACAAGACAAGTCACATCTAAAGATTTAATAGCACACATGGCAGTATTGGAATAACCTAAATAGCAATTCAACTTTTAGCAATAAAAAACACACATTGAAATACAGGTACTTTCAAAATCATCGTTCTAAAAATAGTTAAGAAGTTCCAAGCTCATTAATTCAAATACTAGAATGAATGTTTCATTCAGTAATTTGATATTTATTTACTGAGTTTCTGTATTGTGCCAGTAATGGTGAAGATAATGTGTGTATGTTTGCATGTGTATGTGTGTGTGGGGGGACGTTTGTGTGTGTTTGTGATTATCTAGAAAAGATATTAAATAAGAGAGGGTGGGCCAAGAACTGTTAGACTCCAAACTTAGGGAGGACAAACGTGTAAAAGAGAAAAGGAAGCAATGTCCTAAAAAGTAGAAGACAAAGATTTGTACCATGAATGAAGTGGACAGGGGAGACTGCTTCAGAAAGCCCCAAATCCCCACACTGAGGGATTTTAGGTGTGTTTTGTTTTGTTACATTATGTTTTGTTTTGTTTTTGCCACTTTGATTTGCCTCTGTAATTCCAGAGTGAAAGACTTGGAGGCTGATTCCACCACCTATAATCATTTAATTCTCCCTATCATTAACATCAGACTTTTCTCTTATCACCCCACTGAAGCTATTCTGGCAAAAGAAACTGCTTGCTCTATCCAACAGAATTTTTTCAATATCTGCTAATCTTTGTCATAGTGTTTGTACATTTTATTTCCTTTTTTCTCTGAAACATCATTGATTCTTTTTACTACAATTCTTTTTTCCTCAATTATTACTAGATAATAATTTCTGGCATGTATTTTCTTGTTTATTTTTCATAATTTTTTGTTCCTAAATGCATATTTTTATTTTTAATTGTTCTTTCAATCCCTTTGTTATATTTCTAAAATGAAAGCACAGGTTCACTGGTGGTACTTTATATGTTCTGAGAGGCCCATCAATTCTTCTGCTGTAAAAGAAAGCTGCCTCATCCATCAGAAAAATCTACCTATGTGATAACATAAAAGTGGGAATAGTCGACACAAATGATTGTGTAGTAAAGAGCAGCTAAGATTTATTAACTATACAAAGCATGAATTTTGTAAACCTGTACCCTGACGATAGATCAGCAAAAATAATTTCACCGCAGAATTTTCAGAGGTTGAGATGAGAGTTCTGGTGTGGATTTGACTATGACTTGACCATGGTTTCTGTTTTGCTGATCTTGAGTTCATGAATTAGTATTTTACTGTCTTTCTTGTGAATGTAATCCACCAAATGGTACAGAGGAAAGTTTCTCTGTAACTTGGGTACAAGTTGGTGAACTTTACTCTCTTTTCATCTGTGTATTAAAACTTATTAAGGAAAAAAATTTCAAATCATAATATTTGTTGCAATAGTTTATTTAACTACACTTAGATTGTGTGGGGGTGTGTGCATATACATGTATGTTTTGAGCTAAGAGGATTTCTGTAGTTCTGAATCATAGGCTATTTTATGAAGTTTTCTGTCCCTAAACTGTATTCTTGCCAGAAATTAAGCTGTTTTGTCATCTTAATCTACAATCTTAGAAATTTTGCCAGTGACTTTTCCTTTTTCAGATAATTTTCTAATTTATTTTGTTTAAAAAGTATTGGTGAGGGGCTGGGGATTTAGCTCAGCGGCAAAAGCGCTTGCCTGGCAAGCGCAAGGTCGTGAGTTTGGTTCCCGGTACTGGAGAAAAACCAAAAAATAAAAAAAAAAAATAAACGTGTATATCTCATTTAAAAAAATAAAAACTATTGGTGAATGTTACCACAGTTCGAACATGATGTATTTGTAAAATGTATTTCAGAAATTACATTATAAATTATTATCACTCTTTTAGGTTTTTATTTTGTTTTAGATTTTTGTTCTGTTTTCTAGGTTTATAATATTAAAGTCTTGATGTATTTACACCATAATAATGAAAGTATTTCTTCCTCAAATCCAGTAAATCAAATGCATCTGGAGAATAGATTAATCAGGCCTAAATTCTGTTATAACAAATCAAATCAGAGTCACATGAAGTACAAAAATATCAACTATATCCTCCATTAAGTGCTTGCTAAAATATAGTGTATTTTAAAATATATAGAATTAATGTATTTATGTGTACATGTTCTTGTAGAAGCATGTATGTCTACACATGTGAGTTAAAGGTGGTACTATTATAATTTCTGAATATTTTAAAAATACATATTTCATTAACTTATAGTTTGAATTTATAAGAATCAGTCAAATTCTGAGATTAAATAACTTTATTACTAAGGGGAATTTAAAAATTATGGCTTCTTAATGAATGGCAGCTTAAATGTAATGTAAAATTTATAAACTATAGAGATATTACAGTTTAAAATGGAAATAACTTCCTGACTTAGTCCTCCCATAACACTGACTGTGTGATATTAGGTTATACCTGCCAAAAAAGGCAGGCTCAAACTAATCTATTTTTTTAAAAATGTAAAAAACACATGATTATGAAAAAGGTACACTTAGGCTTTCCATCCATTTCTGCATATAGCTGATCAGTGTACATCTACACACAGCACTTATACTACTTGTGGTGATCGTAGGCTATTTTTTTTCTACTGAGTCATATGGTTCAAAAGTTTAAACACTGGTTGTTCTGTGTGGCTAGCACTTCTTTCTTCACATTGGTCAGAAAAAGCTGTAGGGAGAGTGAGGGAAAGAAGACAAGCACACACAATGTGTGACCTGAGACTTCAGAAAAAGTAAATTTACTTTACAGTTCAAACATTGCCTTCAGCTAAATAGTGTGTAAAATGTTCTTATAAATAAAAAAGTTTCTTATCTGATGAAAAGTTCATTTTCTGACAGTTATCTGTCTTAGAGGAAGACTTCATTATATCGATGTAGGTTAGACATACACTATTTTTCAAGTTATATTTTCTTTCCTATCATTTTATATTTGATTATCTTTATTAGTTTTCATATTTTATGAGGAATGAGTATCTAAAATGTTAAACAGTCTAACATATCCATTTGCCTCTACTTTTATGCATAATATGTTTCTATTTGTACTAATATTGTTGAAGGTAGGAATGTGAAGACAGCCAAGCTTGCTAGTTCATGGAAACTTAATAATGCAAAAAAAAAAAAAATCCATAGAACAGTTTAGAAACTTTGTCTTACCTTCATTCTTTCAAACTGAGATAGAACTCTGAGGGCCCGAAGGAATTTAATGGAAGTGAGTGGCTTTAGATCTTCTCGAGTTTTGCCTATTAGGCTAAGACAAAACACCTGCACACATATTTTAAAGAAAAGTTAATATGATCATATTAATGAAAAATAATAGGCAAAATAAAGTTCGTATATATTTTAAAAAGATAGTCAAGGCTACCAACAAATCTTTAAAGTATTTTGATGTATACTTCACTATGTCTTAAAAAATAATTTCATATTAAAATCACTTAAAAAGAAAAAATCAATAGTATTTTATGATGATAAAGAGCATAGGTTATTGAGTTGAGCAATTTTTTAAAAATTAGATTAATATTTATAACCTTTTAAAGTTTGAAATTAGATTTAAAATGATATGATTATTTGCAACACAGTAATGTTATACAATGGATTCATTAAAACATGATTTGGAATATATCCAGGTATTTTATACATAACTAAGGTAAGGAAACAATACAAAATAAAATTTCCAAAGACATCAGGAAGGATATGAATATTATTGAATCAAAAGTAAAAATTACAAAAGTTACAGCATTATACTAAATTATTTTAAAATAGATAGTTATGCATATAATAATTAAAGGTAAATGTTAGTTGAGATTGAGCAAAGTAATAGAACCACGATTAATTTTTATTGTATCTTCATATTTTATACATTTTAAGTAAATAGAGGTTAATGTTTTTTCATATTTTATTCTGTATTAAAGAGATAATCTTGAAGTAGCCTTTAAAGTTTGGAAATCATTCACAGAGGCATCGACTGATGTGGACACAGATGAAAGATGACTTGGAAACAGGACAGCAAGTTTTGAGGATAATGGGCTTTGACTGGAAAAGAAGGGCAATTTGCAAGAATTAATTTAGAAGAAATCATTTTAGTAGTTAATTATAGACTGAGGAGCTAGTATCATTATTTATAGAATAAGGAGCCAGTTTTTCATTCAGAAAAATTATCATCAACGTACAGGACATAAAAGAGAGAAGAAAACTGAGAAAAACAGTTTGCCCTAATGGAGCTTATTTTTTTAGTGGAAGACAACACACAGTAGGCAAAATGAATGAATGATATAACATTAACAGTGGTTATAAATATGAAGACAAAAAAGGGAGGTAAAGGGAGTGTTGAAGAGCCTGTTGTTTTGAATAAGGTAGTGAAATAAACTTCACAAGATTCACTTCAGCCGGGAAATAAACACCAGCACCATTCCAGGTAGAAAGAAGATTAAATACAAAGGCACACAGATAAAAGCAACCTTGGCTTGTCTGAGGTGTTCCAGGAAGATCAGTGCTGGCAGATCCGTACATACACAGGAGTGGCAGGGAGCAGAGGAAGTAGTACGAGGCGAGGCTAGATTATGGAGGGTACTGCAGGCATTTAAGTGCAAAGACTGCAGCCTTTGCTCTGAGTGAGATGGGGAATTTATTAGTGGGTTCCAAAGAGAAAAAGGGAAAGGACGGACATCCATTTTGCACCAGTCACTCTAGGGGTTTTGTGGAGCACAGAATGAAGGGACAGAGGAACAGAAGCAGGGGCACCAATTTAGAATCTACTGCACTAAGGTAACAAATGAGAAACTTTAATAAGTTGGATATTAGTGAAGTTTATGATAAATTGTCAAATTGTAAATATTTTACTCAAAATTCAAGACAAAAGACTTGAAATATTTTAGGGTGCTTTTATCTTCAAGATATTGTGCAACCTATGTACTCTTTTAGCAGTGCGTTTAGAGGTGACTTTACAGGAATTCAAAGGCATAGAGTTAAACTTCTAAAATTTTATCATTAGACAAGTATAGATGTTAAATATTACACAGGAAGAAAGACAGGATATAGATGACCGAAAAACAGACACAGAGAGGGGAAGGGAGAGATAAGCAAGCCAAAGATTAAGAACATATTAAATAGCCTTTAGGTTATTTTTCTTTAAAATACGTACAATAACAACCATGAAGTCCAGCCTGTACCAGCCATTAGAGAAATAGGCTTTAAAGCCGTATGCCATCCACTTGAGAAGCATTTCCAGAATGAAGATGTAAGTGAAGATCATGTCAGCATATTCTAATAAGATTTTAATAGTCTTCCGCTGATCGATATATATATCTTCAAAAGCCTGGGGGTAAGAAATTTAATGCTAAGAGGTATGATAGACATTGTGAAATGATAGGAAAACACTCAAGGGTAAAGGGCAAATGGGATGTGGGAAAAGAGAAGGGATAGAAGGAGAAATTTTGTATGTATGTATACACAGGATTGTTAACATAGTTGTTCTACTGTCTTCTATTTCTTTGCTGAAAGAAATTGTCAGTGAGTCCTTGATTGATCAGTATTGCAAGTCTTTGTTTTCATGAGAAACCACTTTGAAGATATCAATATAATAGAAGTAATAGAAGCAGCATTGTTAATTTCCTACCACTTTGTTTGTAGCTCTGTATTGTCTGTACTGTTCTTTTGGTATTTTGTAAAAGATTGTCTGTCTGTTAATGTTTTCCTCCTTTTATTTTTAAAAGAAAAAAAAATAATCCATGAGATTTCTAAACACTCTTGGATGTAGAAAGGAATTAAATTCTGTTTCAAGTTAGACAATACACATATATAAAGATAAAGAGTTCCATGTCATAGTCATGAATGGGTTGATATCAGTAGTACAAATCTGTTCATGCAAAATAACAAGTCATCAAAATATTTCAAACATTAATGGAGCTCAAAGGAGATACAGAAAATTGAGTCATAGTGTGAACTCACACTTTTTAAAAATAGCAGATGACATGACAGACAGAAGAGCTTTTACGGTATCACTAAGGATGCACCAAGTGGCCCTAATAGCAACACAATTGTACCCAGAAAAACAAAAGATACACAGTTTTCAAGAATGTATAAAGTACTGCAGTCAATTCCCCATGACTAGCAAAATCTACCTGTTTCACAATGACTATGAGTGTTCAATGATAATACACAACTGAAACGTTCTTTGTAGAAATGCCTCTTCTCAAAAAGAAACGTTTCATTCATGAAGCAAGATGTCCATTCCTAGAGGGAAACCCCTCAGTCAGTCACTGAGAGAGACACAAAACCAGCACACACTCTTTCAGGGTGGAACTCTGTGGTGCAGCCTGGGCTCCAGAGCTTCTCTGGAAGGTCAAATTGAATCTGGTGTTGGTTGAGGACCATGCAGAAGCCTTCCATTAGGGAGATTTAAAAATTTCTCTTTGGGAACTACCTCCATCTCTATTTCTGGTTACCAACAATATAGTCAACAATATAAAGAGTCAACTCTTTTCATGGGGTAACTGGAGAAGTACAGATATTAATTCATAGGGAAAAGTCACTATGCTAGAGCACCTGGGACTTATGAGGAACGTAGTAATGAGTACTGGAGGGAAGTAAAATTATGTTTAGGAGTGGGTCCTCAGATCCTGAGGGGGCTGTGCAGTACTTTCGCATTGCTGCTATCACAGATTACACCAAAGTTAGTGTCTGAGAATGATACAAATACATACTTTTACAAATCATAAGATCAGAATCCAAAAGTCAGTTTTATTGGGCTAAAGTCAAAGTGGCAGGAGGGTTGATGTGTGTGTGTGTGTGTGTGTGTGTGTGTGTGTATGTGTGTGTTTCTAAAGAGAGAATCCATTTCCTTTCTTTTTCAGCTTCTACTAGCTGTCTATATTCCTTTGCTTGTAGCATCTTTTTTCCCCTTAAAGACACCTCAGTTCAATCTCAGTTTACATGCGTATATCATCTTTATTTCTAATTCTGACTCCTGTATATATTCTAAGAAAAAATACAATTAGAGCAGGTCTACTTGGATAATCCAAAAAGTCTCCCTACTTCAAGATCTTTTATTTAACCATATCAGCAAAACACCATTTGCCATACAGGTAAATATCTTCAAGTTCTAGTGTTTATGATATGGACATCTTTTTTTGTACCAGAAATCAAATTCAGAAACTTGTGTTTGCCAGGCAGCCACTGTGCCACTATATCCCTGGCCCTGATATGGTCATCTTTAGGAACTCTTATTTAGCTTACCACAGGCTGGACAAAAGGGGATAGAGGAATTAACATAATATTCATGCATTATATTAATAATATTATGTGAATCACACTTTATGAACAAGAAATGTTTTCCAGATGCTTTGGAGATTCACAAGAACTTCCTACCATTAAGAAAGAAGGCAAGAGAAACAGAGAGAGAAGGGAGGAAGGAAGGAGAAAGGAAGGAAGGAAGGAGAAAGGAAGGAAGGAAGGAGAAAGGAAGAAAGGAAAGAAGGAAGGAAGGAAGGAAGGAAGACAGAAAATACTCAGTGAGCCTCTTCAGGTTTGAAAACAAAATTTCAATCTTGAAAAAACTACTATGTCCTATTTATCAAGTGATGTAGAGGACTGTCTGTGTGTTTGTTTATTTGTTTGTTAGGCCTGGTGCAGGCAAAAGTTCCAAAACAGTTTGGTTACACTCCAATTCTCCTTTTCATTTGAGCCATATACATACAGTGTGTTACTGGAAGAATCTATAATGGAGAAATTTTTCATGTGGAGCATATGACAACACTGATTTTGGGTATTCGTGCTTTCCATTTGATAAAATCCAGCAAATGTGGATTCAGAGGCACCCAGAATAGTATATTAGTAGACACAGCATGTTTTCACTAAAATTAAAACCAATATATTTTCTGATCAATTTTCAACTACTTATGCCAGTACACTAATAAGAAAAGAGATATCACCAGACTAGCAAAGATAATTGAGCTTGATTATCATGAGCAAGTAAGATGTTACATCAAAGTGAGAGAAGGGAGGGGCTGGGGATTTAGCTCAGCGGCAAAAGCGCCTGCCTGGCAAGCGCAAGGTCGTGAGTTCGGTTCCTGGTACCGGAGAAAAACCGAAAAAAAAAAAAAAAAAAAAAAAAAACAAACAAACAAAGTGAGAGAAGGGAGAAACAAAACATAAAACATGAATGAAACTTATCTATGCAGTTGAAGTATAAATAGCTCCTCCCCATGTGTAGTGGGAAGTACCTGTGAGGGCTTAGAGTATGGTGGTGGAGCTCTGCACAATGTTTCTGTATAACAATCCAAGTGGTAGTTACACAAGTGCTTTCACTTTGTAAATATCATTAACATTGGACACCCATGATGCTCTCTGTATGTATAAGGATGGTCATTTTAAAAACATTTCACATACAATGCAAAGTCTGGTTTCTAACCATGACTTCATCATCTCTGTACTGTATCTCACGATAGTTCATTCTTGTGTATCCTTTTCTGATATTCTTTAATGAAATGTACACAAATTCACTAGCCATTCCAGTTTTCTTGCTTGTCTACATGAAAGGCAGGTTGCCGTGCACAGTTAGTCATGTTATATGCGTCTTTTTTCACTATGCCATGTCTGGAAGCACTGAAATACCAGTCTGCAATCAGCTCCTATGTTTTCAAAATAGCTGTGCAGTATTCCACTGGCTGACTTTAACTTAGCATTTTACCATTCACCTATCATGAACTCTTACGCATCTCATGTAATATTTGTTGTTAAAATGGATATATCAGTGAATAATCTTGTAAATACAATTAGTCTATGTGAGGATATCTGTAGGATATCCTTGTAGAATTAAGAATATTTTGTTTAGGGGTAAATACATTGGCAGTTTGTAAGCACTTATAATCATATAAGATCTTTGGTTTTTACCTAAAAATGGAAATATTTTCCTAATCTTTATATGCATGATTTCATGTCCTTTTATCTTAAGTATAGAGGCAAGTGATCACTGTACAATCAAACTTTAAAACTTTCCTGTTGGAACAGTACTTATCTCTTTTGCTAAATTACATTTGCACCCATCACATGGGTCGATTACTCTGACAATGACTAATATATTCTCCATCTCTAAAAATTTGTTATTTTGATAATGTTTTCTAAATATAGTTATATACATTATATAGCAAAGAATTTTGACAAATAGTTCTACATTGCAAAATATTTGAACCATTTGCAGAAAACAAAGGTCTATAGGTTGAGATGTATTTTTTCCTTTCATCGTAGTGTGCTTAGATCTGTTGAGGGCATTGTGTACATCCCTGGTTGATTCTTTATTACAGGTAAGTTTTATTCTGCAGTAGGTATGTACTACCACTTAATTACTCATCCACTGAATGAAATTTCTGTTGTTCTCAGTATTTTTCCATCATGAATAACCCTGCTTAAAATGTCTGTGCCAAAGAAATACATGTAATACCTACCTTTTCATACTGAATAGGCAACAGAGTACCAGGGCAATATACAAATTTTGCATGTCAAAATTATTAAATTGTTTTATAAATAAAACTTCATTAAAATCAGAAGAATCAAGTGTCTATTTTCATTCTATTTCCCATCATAATTCGTTTATTTTAAAGCTACATATTTCTGCATTCTTCAGTTTAGTGTCAACATTACATTTAATGAAGCATATACAAACTTTTTAAGAAAACATGCTGCAAAATCCTTAAACTAAAGCCATAGAATGTGATATGCGCTGCCATACTAAGTATTCTGAGAGAAGTGATCTGGCAAGGTGACTTTCTGAAGTATAGAGTTGTGACACAGTTGTCCCCGTAAAAGCACTGCTCATCCTGACAGCGCACTTACCAGAGCTCCAGTGCTGAGCAGAGTGACAAGGCCAATGAAACACTTAAACCAGCTGTTTTCCACTATTTTACAGCAAGTTTTCCTTATATTCTGCCAAATTTTGCCTTTCTTGTGTTCTTTACTCATTTGACTAGGTGAGGATCTCCTACGATCTGCCAAGAACGAAAACATTAAGAACAAAAATCTAGAATACTCATGAAATTAAACATCCCATACTTTTTACTATAGAAATCTGACTTAGATCTTATGTTTTGGAATTTATTTATTTATAGATTCTATTGTAAGTGGTCACTGATTTATAACATTTGATTTTTACCTCCGCTTTAGCAACTATAGTCACCAAGGACAGGAACTAAATTTGTGGGCTGACAATAACAGGAAAAACTGAATTGAAAATGGCATGAATGATATCCCTTTAATCTGCAGAACAGAACTAATCTCTTTTCTGTACCAAAACAAAAAAGATACAAACATATAAATCTTTTGAGTGTTTCCTTTTGGTACAATCCCTGAAAATTCACTCTTCCGTAATTCATTCAGCATCACAATCATTTCTATTTAAAAACTAAATGCTCACAAGATGTTGGGAGGTATAATATTAAATCAATTCAATTGCTTTGATTCTACCCCATGTAGGAGCATGGAGATGGAAAATTTGACTGGGACCATTTAAGGGAGTGATGTGAATGTTGCAATACTTTGTGGGTCAAGGGGATATTTACGCAATTCAATTCTGCACTGTGGTCCAAAGGGTTAGTAAAAGAAAATGTGAGTCTGGATAAGGGAATTATTGACAGCAGGAAATAAAGAAAAGGGTGAGTGTGGATTCTGTAGTTAAAGCTTTAATTTTAGTATTTTTGTTAGTGTCAAATTACACACCTCCTCTCAAAAAATATACAACACATTTGTTCTTTTGCCTTTGAAAATACATGTTCTAGAATTCAAGCTTCTGATAATAGAGTCTTACTTTGAATACAGGAAATGGAGCACTTAGCAGTTATAGTTTTGATGACATTACAGTAATTTTAGATGTCTAAACTTGCATTAGTTTATTAATTTTTCTTTTTTTTTTTTTTGGTACTGGCAATTGAACTCACAGCTTCATGCTTGCCAGACAGGTGCTGTGACACTGAGATATACCCCCTGTCCTAGTTTGTTAATTTAACTTGAAAACAAACTCATTGAGAGGTGTGTGGTACACATCTAGTGTGTCAACTGCTGAGAGCCACATACTGTGTCTTTTAATATTCATATGAAATATATAAACATCTTGCTTTTGTGATTTATTTTCCTAAGATGTATGATGCCTTTCCTAATCAACATTTTAAGTATTAACCCCAATTCACCAGGTCTCAAATATCATGCTCTATTGTAATGCAACAAATTACATAATTATTAATATAAAATTATGAACATTAATTATTCTCCCAATTTATACATAGCATAAATACATTTTGAAATCAATATGATCAATAACATTCCACTCACATACCACTACTTATAGTTCTTTCTGCCATAACTGTAACAGTCTATATCCCTGTTAGCTATGTCAATGAACTAGGATGATGAGGTAGATGATATTGCTATCAAATTCTGCTTTTGGTGGAGAGGGAGGTCGTCTTTCCTTTCCTAGATTTCCCATATACATCTACCCATGCACCTACACACATATACTAATTTAACCTTTTCTGTAATTCCTAGATATTTATTGCTTTCAAACATTTGGAAATAATCAAATGAATGTGTAAATTAATCCAGAATCAAACTTGGCAACTAGTGTATTAGATACTCTAGGCCATAGGCTTCTACTGTTTCCTAGTGTTGATGTTTTTCTTGACAATTCATACAAGTATCTGCTAGGATGTAGGTGAGGTATATATGCACATGTCCCCACAGAAGTTCATGTGTGTGTCTCTGCAAAACTAATAAACACATTAAGATTAAAAGTGAATCCAATAGTATTGTGTAGCTTCAACAATTTAGTGTAATCTCAATAAAATTGTCAAAGAAAATTTTCCCTTACCAGTTATTAGATGCTTTGACTTTTCATGTTCATCCACTATTTCTTCTTCAGAGAGAGCAATATCAACTGTGCTGCATTCAGATGAGCTAGATTGTTTTATTTTCTAAAAAGAGATCAAGCAAAAATTTGTAATTTTGTTTAATTTTGTCACTTGAGTTAAGATTTATTTCATTTTTATAAGGAAAATTGTATACAGAAGGAATATTTTCAAGTTTAAATGACTTTATTCCAATTTCTTGAAAGATATATACATATTAGTATTTTTCAAAATTTATTAAAAATACTTTGTTTAACCTAAGATACTTAATTTAAGCTAAAATAACTATAGATAGAAATTAACAGTAAGATAAAAAAGTAGTTTGTTAGGGCTGGAGATATGGCTTGGTGGTGAAACACTTGCCCAGTGTGCCTAACGCTATAAAAAAGAAAATAAACAAGCAAAAGCCACTGTGCTCATAAGAGCACCTCAAATTTAAAAAATTATTAGAGTTTCAAAATTTTGTAAGGCTACTTCAAGTGTGTATAGACAAGAAGCAAGAAAATAAATCATTCCTTTCCTCTCAATATGAGTCAGTAATACTTCATTTAGTTTTACTGTAAAATCAAGCTAATGCAACATTGTGTTTGCATTTATTGAACAGGAATCCCTGTGAAGTCATCATGAAATGCAGCAAGAAAATTATATGGACTATTTTCTAATTAAAACAGAATCAAGATAAACATTTTAAAATATTTGGCAAAAAGCAAGCATTTATTACATCATTAAGAGTGAAAGAAAATAGGCAATAAATATTTTATTATACTTATTAATCTTATGCAGAGTAAGTATAAAGGAAATAGAGTTAGAAATTTATTTCTCTTATTTTAGTCTAATTTGAGCAATTGTTAGTAAATGTTATGCTGTTTAATTAACAGAATAAATAATTCAGTAGAACATTACTCAAATACAGAGATTTTAGAATTCTGATTTTTAAAAATATTTTCTTTGTTTTAGTTACAGGCTACAGTGATGGATTTGGGTAAAGTGAAGAAAAAATAAATGGAATGCACACACTCAGGGGTTGAAATTTGGCACTTTACATTTATAAAGTGATCATTTTTTGATTACTAAAACACCTACAGATAAACTATTTGAAGTGTTTTAAAACCCCACATTTTAAAAATAAATCAGTTGAGGACCAAATTATGAACCATTTATTTTAGTAGAAGATTATTTAATGGCATGAAAAAGTAAAAATTGCATATTACTATATTATAAAAATAATGGAAGCCCTGATGCAAAGATTGTTACTTGTACACACATGCATTTTGTAGTGAAAAGGATCAGAAGTCCAAATATCAAGGAAACATATATATCTCTCATTATAACACAACATACAGTTTGTTTTATTATTTGGCTTTTCCAGATCTATCTGTTAAATATTCATGAGCTACATAATACAAATAAAGTCTGACTAAATTAAATGTACAAATAAGCATACATATCAATCAGCAGATCTTCTGCGAGTACTTTCCCAAGCAACAGACCAATTAATCATGCAATATAAGTGGAAAATTTTGAAATTTCAACAATTGTTGTTACTTTATGTTACATCTTTCCTATGTATTTTTAAGGTCCACATTTTCTAAAGAAATTATCAGGGATTTCACAATATGATGAAATGCGGTGGAAAGCAATTTTGTCTAGAGACAGAGAGACAGTAGTCCGAGTATTTGGATAAAATAGGTAAATAGAATTGGTAGAAATTTCCTGAGTCTTGTAACAGTATTAATTGAAATTTGACTAACCCTGAAAATATTGCCCATTGTAAAAAGTGAAAATGTCTCTCTAATTAAAACGAAGATGTCTTCAATGGGTTCTAGAGGACCCTGAACCTTTGAATCTCAACTGCTGACAGAAAATCATTTGGAAATTCAGAAGTTATTGCAGAGAGAATCTGCCAAACAAGAAGAGTTCTGGGAAAAATATGATGCAAGAGATACTGGAGACCTGCAAGAACACATTCCCTGGGCTTTGCGTGGCCTGAAATGGTTTCTCAGTTTTAAAATGTGGCTCTGAGTTCTTTATTTATTTTTAGCAAGGGGCTTAAAAATCTACCAACTATTTTTAATTCAAACTGTATTTTTTTCTTCCTTTTGTCACCTTAATCATATGTTTATATGTTGCAGAAACAAAATAACTGGAATCTTATAATTTAAGCAAGCAAGAATCTTTGCTCTTTACTAATCTCATTTTACATTTTGAATATGCTAAAGCCCAGGTGAGTTTGGTGATTTCTGTGGTCATACACACTGATTTTAGAAACAGATTTTTTTCAGTATGCGTTTCATCAGCCCAAACTACCTGCTTGCTGATTTGTAGGATTTCACAATTATGCCATTTAATTTTCCTAAATGCTTACACATATTAAACAATGTTCTATGTACAGTGAACAATTTTGGTTTTATTCTATCTTCCCTAAGAAGTACAACTTTATCCTCCCTTACACATTAGGAAAATAAAACCTAGAAATTTTAAGTAATACGTTCCAGAGGATAAAATCAGTAGCTAGAAGTGGTAGAGCTTACACTGGCTGTGTAATCTGGCTCTGGAAACTGATTGCTGATTTACCTCCTTATGAAGAGCATCATAAAAACAATTGTCAAATAATAAGGAACAAGATTTACCCCTTTGCTGTCTCCATGGCCTAACTTGCTCATAAATTCCTTGTTATCTAGATTTTCTATGTCAGATTCTCCTGAAGCGATTGGTACAGTCTCGGAGACACTGGGACTGGGGATAAGTGACTGACTCTCATTTTCAGTCATTGTGTTTTTCTCTGTGTCGCTGCTTTTCCCCTTGTCTCTGGGGAAATCCTGAATGTTGCTCAGTTCAGAAAGTGTATGATCTGAAGCATTCTCTTTAACATATGTATCATTTACGTGGTCCACGGTTTTCTTTGGAGCATTTTGCTTTCTGCACAATATTGTAAGAAGCACATAGTTTATCCCTTTCTTAATTCTCGTCACTGCAAGTTGAACATTTATTGCTTCATTGTTCTCTTCAGTTGTTGCATCTTTATAGGAATGAAATGAGCTCACAAATCCCACAAACAGGTAAAGGATCTAAATAAAAAAGTAAAAGGAAATTAAATGTACCTCACTCTTTCCTTTTAAACAATATGAAACAATCTTCCAAAAATGTGAATCCATGATCTGAAAAATGTGCAATACAATGCTGTTCAAGTCATCTTCATCAACGATGTCTGAGTTTGTCAAGCAGAACTCATTTTAAACTCAAAACAGCCTAAACAATGAGTGCTTTCTCTTTTACTGATAAACAAGCCAGACTTATGGGCATTAAGTATTAAAGTTACACACATTAAACTCAAATCGGCCTTATCCCAAAGCTTGTTTTGTCACTGAGACAGGCTGTTCTGCTCAAGGTGAGCCAAAGAATTGTTGCTTCAGGCAGCTGTCCCCACTTCAGCTTAACGGCCTGCTGTAAGAGCTGTCCACGGTGCTGAACACATTTGTAATAATTCTTGAGAAGTGCAAAACCAGGTGTTGGGTAGATCTGTTGATTTTCTGTTGTAATAAATTTGCCCACACAAAAAGATGAGTTGTGGAAGAATTACTCTTAATACTTTAGTTTGAATACAAGAATTGTGCCGACTTTCACCTTATTATTGATAAATATAACCAAGGCCTACTCAGATTATAGAGAATTAGAATTTATTTTGTAATTGTAGCATATGATTTATAATTTTAGAGTACAGTATTGCAGACCTATAGTTATTACTTTATTAGGCCTATAGCAATAATTCCATGACTTTATTTATTCTGGTAGCTTTCTGCCATTTCTTCAGGTATTTGAAGTTTTAAAAATTTGTTTTACATACAATTTATGAATGGAAAAGTTCAAATTACATAAATTGTGCTTAATAATATATTTTATATGTCAAATTACATGCTTAAATTTACATACATTTATGTAATAAACTTTTGCTACCCGTATTTCTTTTTTTTTTTTTTTTTTTTTTTTTTTTTTCCGGTACCAGGAACCAAACTCACGACCTTGCGCTTGCCAGGCAGGCACTTTTGCCGCTGAACTAAATCCCCAGCCCCGCTACCCGTATTTCTATTTTGTCCACATGCTGAAATCTACTTTTAATTTAATTATATTTATATTTACTTAAAAAGATATTTTTAAATTCCTTTTTTTGGTTATGTTTTAGGCATAGTGTAAAATAAGGAAAAGGTGTTAGATCAGAATTTTATGACTGTAGGATTTTTAAAAGCAAGTACCCAAATTTCTCTCTTTTTGAGTATCCATTTTTTCACTCTATGAAAAAATAAAGTGAAGCTTCATAATCAAGTAATAAGTAGTTATTACATTGTGTATCATTACCTCCAAAGTAGTTACCCAGGGTATAAGACATAAATGAGAATGATCCAGCACACTACTGGGAAAAAGTAGCTCATAAATATTTCTTGAAAGTTAACTATAGAGTAAATAAAAATACATTTGAGACAATAAAATGGACTTCTTGGACAACAAAATGTATGTTCTTATAATTATGCTTTTAGGAGATGACAATTGAATATAGTTTTAATTTTGTAGAAAATATAAAACAAAATTTTATAACAACATAATAGGAGAATAACAATAGTTAATATGTACAGTTATCTTTAAAGTAGTTACTCAGAGTAAAAGATATGGGAATAAAAATTTCTCCAAAGGATATTAGCACAAACCTTTCTTTTCACTGAACTATAAGAAAGTAGTAGTATAATTGTCTTGTACTTTTTTCATTTTCCTTCCTTCCTTTCCACTTTCTCCCATTGTAGTTCCCTTTTTTTTTTTTTGAAAAATTTCTTCGCATTTCATAGTATCTATTGTATTTTGTGGACATTATTTTAACTGTTAGCTTCTCACACCATGAAGACAATATGATGTTTACACATGTGCATGTGATTTATTTCAGTTATATCATAAACAGACAATATACACACATGCACCTGTGCAGTGAAGATGCTACAAGGCTAGAAATTAATTTAGCCTCAACTGTTCAAAATGCTCTAGAACAGTGATGTAAGGAAATCATTTTATAGCAATGCAAACTCCTACTCTTTTATTGAGAGGTGTTGTAAATTAAAAATAGATTTTTCTTTTAAATATTAAGAAAATAATAACAAGGCTGTGTAAATAGCCCCAGCTATGGAGGACTGATTACTTCTAATTTAAAGATTAATAAAAAGAGGAGGAAAGAGATTACATCATTTAGGTAAAGTAATTTTCTTCTATTGACAATGTAATAGCAAGACTCAAAACAAACACTTATTATTTCTGTGTTATGGGAGAAAAAGTAAATTAATGTTTATAAAACAAAGCGTTGAAAGTTTCCCCTGAAATTTCCTCCCCGTCTCCTGAAAGATATACACATAAAAAGTGAGAATTGAATACTCATATCAAAATCAAATTGGATGAAAGAGAAGAAAACTTCAAAACTTGGCTAAGTAATTACTTTTCCAATTGGGAATCAAATAAATGTGGATCTGAAATCTATCAAATATTGAGACTTTTTAAAATAGTGTTCTAATTATGCCTTGACATATATTCAGTTTGTAAATATGTATGGAATAATTCACACACAAATTCAAATTTAAATTCAATTTCATGTTGTTTTCCATTTCGTTCCATGTTTTCATCCCTTCTTGTTTGGTTTACACAACCATACTAGATACTATAGTTCACTTGGTGTCAAGTATCTAAATTGAATGCAAAATACTTGGAAAGAACCCATGTTTGTAAGGAATTGAAAATTTTAAATAATATTAAATAATTAACAAAAAAACCTGTAGATGTGAGGTTGGAATTTACTACAGTATAAAGAATTAATCATTTATAGGGTGCTGGATGATATTTACTTACAGTAACACCATAAGTGATGTACTGCTATTAGGTCATTCTCCTATTGAATGTAGTTGGACTTAAAGAGGATGTGCAATATGAACAGTCTTAGTAAGTGGCAGAACTGGGAATTGAACTTGTGGTTTTTTTTTTAAATCTGAATTCTACATTTTCTACAACAGAGAATGATAGAAATATTTAAAAATCAAATTAAATAGTTAATTTTCCATATTTTCTTAAAGAAAATATTTTTACTTATAGCTTAGAATCACTGAAAGTTTTCTTGCAGAATAAGATAAAATTAAAATTTTAAAAATGTAGACTACCTTCCATTTGCACACTGGAAGTATGAAAGGTGAAAAGATTAGCATCTTCACAACTTATCCCCTTTCATTTACCCCACTTTGTATTTACTCTAGTGTTATGATCATGGGGCCCCACAAATGCATCAATATTGAGAGAAATAAAGCTTAAAGATTTATAAAGCCAAGAAATATGATGGCCGTGTAACTGGAAATGGAAGTTTATGATTTGAAGTTTGAAATCCACAGGAATAATGAAAGTAGACTGGAGTTTACAATTTGTCTTTGCATTTCTGCTTCTTAAGATCTCTTTCTTGCTTTCCCTCTCGCTCTCTCCCTCTGCCTGCCTGTGTGTGTGTGTGTGTGTGTGTGTGTGTGTGTGTAGTGCTGTTGCTTCCTGCAGCAATCATAGCAGTCAAAGCTCCTTCTTTTTTTCTTTTTTTTATTTTAAAAATAAAAGGAGGAAAACATTAACACACAGACAATCTAAGCTCTTTCAGAGACAGAAATCTACTCAAATTTGGAAATTATCCTTTTATAGTTATTAGTCCTATAATATGTATAATTTGGGCTTGGACTGATGTCATCTCTACTTTCAAGGAAGAATTCTAAGTGACTTAACATAATAACTGCATCCCACACCTTGGAAAGTAGAGAAATTAGTTCAGAAATGGGCATGAAAGTTAATGAAATAACAGGAAAAATTTTCTGTGTCTTCCAGGAAAAAAAATTTCCTCTTCCATTAGACTTGATACATTGTGCTGATGTGAGGCCTTAGCCTGCAGGAGCCATTCTGACAAAACACAGCAAAGAACACAGAGGAAGACAGAACTGAGAGGTACAAAGAATTGCCTGGAATAGCGCCATCTGAATATCTGTACCATACCCAATGGAAGCAAGATCAATTGCTGATATTTTGAGTTTTATACAGTGGCATATTAGTTCAGTTTTGGTTCAGCTGTGTAGCACAGTGTTTGATATTGCTGGAGGTTGAAAGTGTGCTAATAGCTACGAGGGCAGAGGATATTGCATTATTTTCACGTTGGACACTACTCCAAGCTTCATGCTAAAGTCGTCACAGTCCCTTCTCTCATGAAGCTACCAGTTTCATGAGGAACATGGACCATTACAATCAACACTAGACACAAACACAATGTCAGTCTGACCAATTTGTGATTCATGAGATGAAAGGAAATGAAGGGCATAAGTAAAACTAGGTGTAACCCATGATTTGTTTTGTAAGGTTTTTTTGCAAATATACTTGGTCTTTATGACATATGAGTAAGAAACAAATATTCAGTCTTAATTTTCCTCTAAGAATAATTTTCTTGTATAAACCATACTTCTTTCTTTTACCTTAATTTGAGAATATATTTATTTCATTATTTCTTAAATGAATAACTGAAACTTGGCAAGGAACCAGAACACGAATAGTATCTGTAATTGATGTCGTCAATATCATAATCAGCCAAAGAGATAGCATATATGTATGGCTCCACTTTGATATAGATAGAATTTCTTATTTCACTACATATTTTTACAATTGAACAACACTTAATCTTATTGATCTTTATCTATTTATATATTTATCTCTTGGTTCTTATGTTTTTCCAATTACAAGAATAGAGTGAAAAATGCAGGAAAATAAAGACCCAAGCCAAATCTACCTGTACTTTTGACATCTATGAATATAAAATTAAAATGGTAAAATCTGACTTTCTAAAGGACCTCAGAATTCCAGACACCTATCCATATATTTTACTTATAAACAATTAAAACTACTTCTTTGATTCATGTAATACCAATTCAATTATTGGGACACTTGAAAGTGAAAGTTTAAGCAAAATTGGTTTTGGACCAATGACTTGCAATCTTTCTTGCATTCTTAAGTCTAATGAGAATTGCTTTAAAAAGTTCTGATATACAGGCTATATCCACATATTAATAAAATCAAAATTGCTGGGAATACATCTAAAAAGTCAGCATTTAAAAAAATTCTCTAGATAATTTCGATGTGCAAGCAAATTTGACAGCTAGTGTTACATTTAAGAGCTTTTAAAATTTAGCGAGCACTCAAATCATCTGAGGATTTTAATGCAATGTAAATTATTCTTCTACGGGTCTGGAATATGATCTGAGAGTCTACATTTCTAGTGATCTCTCAGTGGTGGTGAACCTAAAGCATACATGTTGTTGTGTTTTTCCTTTAAGACAAAATATGTTAATGTACTATTGTTTTCTGTAAATTAAGACCTCAGTATTTAGGTTTAATTGGAGTGTTTGAACTCTGTGATAAATAAGAGGGTTTTAGGTTGCAATTTGCCACTCAGACTTTAAAAAGTTTGCCATCACTATATGCTGCCAATGTTACTTTAACAAGGCTAACAGTAGTACTACCCAATAGAAATAGAAGTCACATATGTAATTTTAAACAAAGTTTAAGTATAAACAAAAAGGGGAATTATTTTTAATAATGTATTTTATTTAACTAAATGTACTCACAGGTATTTTCATTTTAAATGCATTTAATATAAAAGTATTAATGACAATTTGTATTATTTTTAAGGAGAGATGATAAATTCAGTGTGTATTTTACATTTACTGTACATCTTGCATTAGACCAGCCATATTTTAACTGGTAAGAGCCCACAGGGCTACCGGGTCCCAATATGGGACAACTCACAGATCCCTGGACTTTATCATCTACATAATGAAAATACCAAAGTACATTGTACTAGTCATTTTGAAGGACAACGTAAAAGCATGGAATACTTACCAACAAGTTTCCAATCAAAATGACCATCATGTAAAAACAAATGCATGAAGATTGACCTACTACTTCCATGCATTCCCACAAGGTCTCTATCCATTCTCCACAAAGAATCCGGAACACAAACAGGTAGGAATGGAAGAAGTCATGCATGTGCCAGCGTGGGAGCTGACAGTCTTTGTCTACATGACAGACACATTCTTTGTATCTCTCACCAAACAGCTTCATGCCAAACACAGTGGAAAAGAAGACGAACGTGAACAGTAGCAGGATCCCATCTTTCAAGGCCCTTAGTGAGTTACGAAGAGTGAGCATCAGCCTCCTAAACGTTGGCCAATATTTCCCCAACTTGAAAATTCGCAACTAAGAGAACAATGAAAAAATAAGAAAAGAAGCAAACAACAAAGCCAGTCAGTATTCATTCTAACACACATTTAAAATTTTTATCAGCAAGATACTCAAAAATAGGCAGCCTTTAAAGTAACATTCAATGTTAGGCACTAATACTAATCACTGAATATTTATTTTACATTAAAATTTTAATAAAACATATATTATACAACTTTGTAAGTAAACCCATACCTACTCATTTCTATTGATTAATTTGTCAATTCTCATTTAATATTATACTCATAACTATTAAAATTTTATGTTTTAATATTTGGTAAAGCAAGTGTGTATTCTTTGATTTGCTTTTCACAGTGTAGTGGCTATTTTTCCAGAAAATGACATATTAAAAAAGTGATATCAAAAAAGTTTGTCAGGATCCATGGAATTCCACTGAAGATCCTACCAGAAAATTAACAAGCCAAAGACAAAGTACAATATTCTATCCTTAATATACATACTACTCTTTTTCTCACCAGATACTTCATTTATATTTAGACAGTACAAAATTTTCTTAAAATTTTGGTTAGTATCTTACAGTGTACATATAGTCATCTAAAATCCATACATAATTTTAATATATGTTATACCTTCCTGACATTTTCAAATATGTATAGTATTTGGGTTTTTGAACTCAAAAGTAAGACTTTACATTTACCTATGTAAAATTTAAGCATCTTAGATTCAGTCTACTACTAGATGGCAATATAGTTTAATATTATCTTTTAGGATGTCTTTTCTTTTTGCTGGCCTTACTCATCCATAAATTTGATATCTGCGTCCTGTATACATTTCTCTTGTTCATTGTCTGAGTTGGTCGTCGAAGATTTAAGATAAGGGTCTGAAGAAGCTGCCTTCTAGGAAGTAGTCATTTGCATAAGCTCAAATCTGCTTCATTGTTTCTCATTCTTGCACATTCTTTCAATCTGTCACCACAACGTGACCGTATGGTACTTGCTGGATGCCTAACATGTCCATAAAGACTCTTTCTAGGATAATTTTTTTTGTCTAGTTTTTTTATCCTCACTGCTTCCCTTGTTTGTGGACACATGGAATTCCCATCTAATAAATTTCATAGTAATATTTGCCTTTTAAAATAAATGTTCTACTCCAAAATTAGAAATATTTACTTATTTCCATTTTCTCAGTAACAAACTGGCATTCCACTCTTAGAACTCATTATCTTGTTTTAGAAATAATATTCAGTTATGCTGACTCTGGTTTCTATAACTGCATATGAAAGTTGCTGCATATATGGCCCTATTTACTTTAAAAGATGGACTGAATAACAGCATTGAAAACAGCTTACTTTTCCCTAAGTTCTTTACATACGGATCAATTTATTGAATATTTCTACTCTTCACATCGAACATTTAGTGGTCCAAACATTTTATGTTTGAGAAAATTGAGATAAGCTGATAAAATAAAAAATTACAACTTGTATTCTACTTACTATCCTCAGGTGTCGAAAAAGACCCAGTCCTTCAATATTTGTTAGATAAAATTCTGCCACGCCAAGAAACACAATAATGCTGTCAAAAATGTTCCATCCTACTTGGAAATATTGATATGGGTGCATGGCAATTATTTTAAGAATCATTTCTGCTGTAAAAATTCCAACAAAAATCTAAATAAAAACAAAACATATTGAGGAAAATTATTCCAGCACTCATATCAGAAATGTCACACACAGAAACTGTAACACAGTGTCAACTTTTTGCCCTCACTTTCCTCAAAAGTCCTCTGGAGATCTACATTGTTTTGGAGTCTGCACTAAGACAAAAGGTGCATGCTTTCTATTTAACTGTTTCATGTCAGACATCATCTATGAAATGTCTGTTTAGAAAAATGGCATTCTTCCAGGAAACAAAAGAACATTTGAGAAAGAAAATCTTTCCATTTTAAATTGTTCCCTATGAGATATAAAGTATGTGTTAAGATATTCCATTTTTCAACCCATGAAACAATAAAAATGTTCATGTATTATCCAGAATAGCAGAGCAAGTCTATGCAGAATGTGCTGATTTAGTATCTCGTAAATGTATAGCTCAAAACTGATTGTTACCAGTTTGGTTATTTGAATTTCTCCTAAGCAATTAAAACAACGATGAAAGCTAGTACAAAATACATTTGGTTTACTGTATTTGTTTTTAAATATTATGTTGAAAAGGACAGGTAAAGCTCAAAAATACCTTGCCAAAATGATAAACTCCAATATAAGGCCAACACAAACTAAACATACAGGGCTAGACATTGGTTTAATTCAGAATTCAGGTACTGATGCCTGTTCTTCCATCTGTCTCCTCTGATCTATGGGATAGTGTATATTTGAAGAGGGACGGTCAGTACGTAATTTCCCCTGAATCTAACTACAAAGCAGATGACTCAGAATCTGAAATTTAAACCTCTGAATTTTAAATGACAGTTCCAAAATCATTTGGTGATAAGAAAATTTACAAATTGAAAGGTTGAGTAGATGGGGTGAAGCATGAACTTGATGTTTCATCCAGCAATAATGTAATAATACGCATTGCAGCACACTGAAGTTATGACATGAAATAACGAGAATAATAATGAATAACAATGATGAAACTGCACGTGAAAAGCATACACAATGAGAGTCTTACCATGTTGCCAATGTTGAGAAGAGACCAAGTGTCTTCACTCATTGGGTAATGCTCCATGGCCAGAATAAATATGTTTAAAATTATGCATATGGTAAGGAAAAGATCAGTAAATGGGTCCATTATAATCCTATGGACAAAGTCTTTCAATTTTAGCCAATAGGGAGAACAATCCCAGATCAAGAAAGTTTTTGCAGTCCTATACCAACACAATGGGCATTTCTTCCTGGAATTTTTAAGCTCTGAGATGAGAGAAAAGTTAAACATTAGAAATTCACTTTTACCGAGTACACAGTTTGACTTCTGCATACAGACAGCAACAGGAAAATTCTGAGCTGGAATTAGCAGATTAGCAAATAGAAATGCTCTATGATAATAAGAAGCAGAGTGAAGTAAGTTTCTTGTATTTTATTTGTGTTTTCTGATTAGATAAATGAGAATAAAGCTAATTATGTATTAGAAGAAAAGTATTAAATACATCTCAAGAAAATAAATATGGAATAGAGGTGAGAATATTTTGATTCAAAATTTCTATATTTATATGCTTCACAAAATGGTGTCTTTCAATGTTATTCATAATAAAGAATTACAGGTTTCATGTCGAAAATGGAGAGATGAGTCTGGCAACGATCTTGAGGTGGTGTGTCATAAAATTGATCCTTGAACAACATGGGGATCTGGGCTGAAGTCCCTTGCACAGTAGAAAATCCTAAAACTTAGGAACTAGTACCCTATTGCTGACTAGAAACTTTACTGATAAAATAAACAGTCAATTAACATGTATTTTTATCTTTTGTATACATCTGATTAGTGAACATATATGAGAATTGCAGATTTCTTTGTAGTGTAATATACAGTTTTTCAGAGAGATAAACTGCTCATATAGTAATGATTCACATCATATGGGGTTTTCCAGAGCTTATTCCCAACTGAACTCACTTTAATGGCAACAGGAGGTGACTACAAAATTATAACAGTATGTGCTACAAGTTTATTTGCTGAAGTTATGATTAAGTATTGCATCTTATATTTGTTTACATTTTTCTTGACTATAAATGTGACCATGTTAGATCTGTGGTTATGTACATAATCTTTGACAAGTTTAACTTTTTATAATGACTTGTTGATCTTTTTGATTGGTAAACAATAAAATAGACTATTGTCTATGTGTTTCATGCATTCATGAAACATCTTTTTTCTTATTTTTTTAGTACTTCTAGGCTACGTAGTCTACCTGCATTTTTTTATAACTGTTAGAAATCTCTCCATAAATCAACATGTAAGAGGACACACACAATTCAAACTTGCGTAATACAAGGTTCAGCTAAGTATTCTAATTCCTACTTTTAGTCACAAACCGTACTGCAGTATTTTTAATGTTAAAGAAAAACACCCGGTACTAATTAATAATACTTTTAAATATGTAAGGCCATTTGTTTCTAAATTTTATTTATTGTTTATCTTAATAGAAATAGAAAATGAAGATATGCTATTTTAAACATTTGGTTATAATCATCTAAATTCTGAAAAAAGAGAAAAGGATGTCTTTAAAAGTGAGTCCGACAGATATCCTAGTACCTTCCCCTTGAATGTCTCATTTGTTTTTGTTTTTATTTTGTTTACCTTTATGTCCAAAAGTAGACTCTTCCAACATATCCACAGAAGTGCTCACGGAAGCTGGTGATCTTTTCTTCATTTCTATTTGTGTGCTTTTGTTCTGAAAATAAATTTAAACATATAATATTGGCCTCTACCCTTTAAAAGTCCTAGACTACAATTTGTAAGGAAGTAAAAACCTTTCTAAAAATGCTGATTCTTACTTCAAGGAATCTCCTTGGGATCCATCACATGACAATCTCTACATTACTTACAGTATTAAAGTGATTTAGAATTATCTAAAAAAAATGCTATGACATATAGCCCATGAAATTTTATACTATGAACTCAACAATAATAGTAAAGACAGGTGAATGTTAGTGGTATTGCTTATATTTGAGAAGAAAGTCCAGTGCAAGATTATGGTAAAATATTCAATTTCAAACATGCTAACAAATAATATTTTCCTAGCAGCTTAATTTTTTTGAGTATACATTATAATTATATAATGCATTATATTTATATACTATATAATATATAGGTATAGTATATTTATATACTATGTAATACTAATGTATTATATAATACATTATAATTATATAATA